TGTTACTAGAATTTACTCTTACAACAGCCTTGGAAATCTGTATTGATCATTGATGCATTCAATATCGTTTTCAAAAAGCTAAAGAGGATTACAAGGATTAGTTTTCAGTAAACATTCTTTATGATCCATTAGCAGAATGATCTGTATATTATTCTGGTAATTAGGGATGCTAGATCGGATATTGGATATTGTGTGTGAAATCTTTTAAGAAAAAAAGTATTTTTCGGGTCATGGAAGGCGGCAAACTCATTTAGTAGAAAATGGTAAATTCATTCAGTGTAAGAGGTATATGTCAGAGTGGAAAGTGTATTGTAACTAACTAGTATTTTATTTTTTTACAAATTAGCATATTTTAATTAATTTTATTTTTCAATAAGAATAAATAAAAGGTATATAATTAGGTATATAATATTTATTTATAAAATTTAACCATTCATAAAAAATTGCAATAGAAAAATTGATCGGTGACTTAAAATATTAAATATATATATAAAATTTATAAAAACTGAGATAAAAACAAATGAATGCATAAATATGAATATAATTAAACAGCTATAAACGGATATTAATAAAATAAATATATACATCTTCACGAATACATACAGGGATAGTACAAATAAAGTATTATGAAAAATCAATATTTACAGCGGCTTTGCGATTAACCATATGTACTAAATCGTTTTGAATTTTATTCGTTATTAAATAAAACAAAGTATTTAAGAATAACAACACGTTTCTCACGAAATCTCAGCATCTTGCAAATTTCCGTCTACGTCATAAATTAAAGCTCATACGTGTCAGTAAGAAAATTAAACGATTTTATACGTTGCATATTGAATTTTTACGATTTAATCCCCTGGCAAAATAAAAAAGAAACATTTATCAGATGACTTCAATTACGCACGTATAAAAGACCATTAAATTCTGATACATTGTCCATCGATTTTATAGTCGATGTTCTACCAGGCATAAAACATCGATGTCCGTACCCGCCTAAGATCCTCTTTTACAAGTCATTAATTAAAATTCTCTACTTAATACTATAATAAAGGTATGAGCCATAAAATTATTGAGCAGAAAACATTCATAAACCAAACTGCAACATAGTTGCCAACACATAAATGTCCTTCATATTTTAATTGCTCCGAACTGCTCTCGGATCTTATCCTGTGAAAACTTACTCGGTTTATGGCCGCTCGGAGATATTCTGTAATGCTAATAATTACTAATTAAGTCAATAAAAAAAAGTCAGTTTAGCTGAATCATTTCATACTGACAGGACGAGTTATATGAATTCAATTGGAAACGGTATGCCAGTGGAAAAAATGGCAAATACTGTGATAATTGCTAATTTACTAATACTTCCTGCAACGTACAAATACCTCAATGTTTTAGGACTAGAATTCATCCACATAAATCAATATAATTTGATTGACAACTGTTTGAAAGATGATAGGCTTTGTTATAGCCACCTCTATAAAGTTCAATTAAAAAGAGTGTTTAAAAAGCTACTTCAGTTTAAAATATGCTTTAAATAAATAGACAAAAAATTCTTCAAATAGAAAGCAAGAACTAAGTAACAATAGAGTTACATATTTAAGTTAATTATTTGTAAATTTGAAAAATATTAATTAATCATTCTGTGATTCTGATTATAACTACATATTTCTTGTGCAACTTAACATGATTTATTGAATTTATAATCGCTCAGCACGCCGTAAATAATAATGAAATGAAATGTAAATTATTTAATCAGAGTAATGCTAATAGTAACATTTCAACACGCTTCCTGATCCATAAATATGAATTATTAATCCGAGTCTATTAGTAATACGAGAGGAATATTTACTTTAGTAAAGTATTTCATTTATTTTTGCAGCAAACATATTGATTGTGTAATGATTTAAATAGTTGTTTGTAATTGCAATAAATTTTGCAAATAAACACAAAGTAATAGCTAAGATTTAGAATTTAAAAGAAGTTTTCTTGCAGAGTTGTAATTTATGATTCGATACTGGAATTGCTCAAGTCTTTGATCAAATCTTATATAAATTATAAATTTTCGAACAATTTTATTAAACTATACAACTTTTATATATATTATTTCTTTTTATATTTGGAGACCACTAAGAAGTCCTACGACCTGTTTTTAGAAGGCATCTCAGCAACTGGTCTATCTCTATTTGATATGTTTATATTATTAGAATATCCAAAGTACTGATGATTTGTTAACTTGTGGCAGCAAATCGAAGAAAGGCTAATAACCCTTGGAAATATATTTCCATCTATATTCTTAAGTAAAAACTGCTATCACTAGTGCTGGACATCAAGCTATGTAAAAAGGAAAGCGAACCTAGTAAGAATCTTTATTCCCAGAGCTTTAACCGCTAAGTTAGGAAAAAGCCCACAAAATGACAAATGAATGAATGAATATGAAAGCTCTTATCAATTGCTTACTTCCAAAGCAAAATAATTTATTAGATTTTTATAAAATTAAACTTATAAGAATAGATGTAATTAATTTAGGGTAGGGTTTTGACGGGATGTTTTAGTGATTTGTACGAATAGGCAATGGCATACACTGCTAGATATATTTATGTGAAAATTTATTAATATGTCAAATTTCCGATGCAAAGTGTATCAACTATCAATGCAACAATTCATTGCGGCAAACCAACGGAAATGCAAAAGTGGCGAATGCTGATTGCCAAGAATTGCTTTGTACGTTTTCATATTTTTTGCCGTCGCTCGTTGCTCTTGTAACGAGAGATCTGATTAGGTATCGAGTTGCGTCAAGATTTTTTGCCGCCGCTGCTCATTGTGACACTTTGTGAAACATTCTCAATGAAAGTGGTGGCCTAACGATGATCTAGTTAGATTGTGATGTATTTCTTAAAGCAGATTATGGTAACCGATGAAATATTTAGTAAAATGTATGAACAAGACGACTAAAATTATAAGGAAAAAATATAAAAAAATTAATATGGTCATAAAACAAATATGGTGTTTATCGTTTTGAAACAAATTGTTGAAACCTGTCCTTTCAAAAGCAAACAATAAACGCAGTATTGGTTATGATATGAAGATCGCAAATAAAAATAAATAATACATATTTCATTTATTTTTTGTAATATGTAAGTAAAATTCTTATAATTACTTAAAAATTTCAACTTTTTATTATTTATTATTACTTACAATTTACTTTCCTCTCGAGAATTCTGAGATTCAAATCATTTTTGCCGCCGGAGTGGCGGTATCCGAGTGGAAAGGGTTTAATAAATATGTTGTCATCTCAGATGTTTCATCTGGATATGGTGAAAGAATAATTACAGATTTGAATGTGGCCGATTTTAGCCATTTTTATTCGTAAGTCTTAACTATCATTTACAGATTACACTATTTTCATTATAAAATTATGGCGTTGCAAATCAATAATTATTAATTTATAACACAGAAACGGGAACTTCTTTTTCCAAAAACCAAATCCATTTTGAAACATCTAGTCTAACTAAAAGCTCTAATACAGTTATATGTTTCATGGAAAACTGGTAGAAATATATTTATCAAATTCCTCAATATTTGCTAAATTATGCCAGAATAATAAGGACTGAGTTATAAATAAATTACTTGATTATTCGTTTTTTTTCAATTTCTCTAAGTAATTGTACAGGAAGTTATTAAATAACTATATCACCAACCACGCCAATTTCTCTGTCAGTTCAATCCACAGTAAAATGTTTGCATCTATATATCTTGGTAATGATAAAATTCCACTTAAGTGTTTTACACACCATTACTCTTACTTTTTCTAGAACATGTAACAAGTGCTGCGTTCATGAAATCATTTTTTCCTGCAGTTACTTCTAAATCCGCGAACACCTCACGCAAGTTGTCGAAGAAAAGCGCGAATTCGCCGCAAAACATTTCGATCTGATGGCATCGATACCGAGAATTCGCCAAATCGCTCGCGATTCGTAATTACAGTCCAAGTCCAAAACGACGCCGTTTACCGCACATTAGGGAACATTTTTTACAAAGCGACGAACTGGTTATTTTCTTCGAAAGCAATCGGAAACATAAAATTAAAAAAAATCTTTGTTAGGTTAATAACTTTATGCAATATTTGCATTTGCTTTATATGCGACTGTATTAAGTTTTTTGTCCATTAAAATTTGGTTTTGGAAATGGCTTTAATTTACTATGTTTGTTTTCGGATGTTTCGATCATTTGGCCTTGGCAGTTTTTATAGATCGAATCAAATATATAATTCTGTATCATCGGATAAACATTTTTTTTCAAATTTGGTCAGCTAAAATTATTTGCCTCATTATTAAAAAAAACTAATTTCGTTAATTTGAGCATGAAGCATTTAGGATTTTGAGACAACTTTAAGCTTGATCAATATATTTAAATTAAATCTGATTTTTTATTTAATGCTGTTGTAGTTTTCGTTTGAAATAACTTGAACTTATTAATAATTATTACATTTGTTATAAACAATATTTTTTACACAAATATGACTTAAATATATGCTGTAAAAGCCATACCCGTAGCCCTTGGCCACATGCGGACAAAAATATTCTCTAATAATTTAGATAAAATTTTGAATTGATTTAATAATAGTTCAATAAAGAATTCCTGAAGTAGCTTTATTCGAAGATGAGAAATTGAATTTTTTTTATTTACAATATCTGTTACAACTGCTAAATAATATAACATCTAGTAACACAGGTGAATAATAACATAAATATAAATAAAATAGAGTACAAAATAAAGGATAGTATTTTCATTAAAATGATATCCGGATTATGATGATTCAATATAAAAACGCAAATAATGACAATAATAAAATTAAAAATAAAATAAATAAAATTTGTGAAAAATAAAAATAATACTGGGACAACAGAAAATCAAACTCAGCTAGTATGTAGAATAGACCTTTGAAACAAACTGCTAAATTATTAGCACGCAATTATATTCTCAATTCATTAATTCTGGAGATATTTTAAAAGAATTACATGAGTTTTGCCAGCTACTGTAGACTATCTATCTATATCTATCTATAGACAGATTCATATAGATTTTATAAATAATTTTCTATAGATCGAATTCCAGTTCTTCCTAAAAAATTAGTTAATTCAAAATTTTATGAACTGAAATTGGTAAGTCAAAGTTTTCGACCAACTGCTAATTGCCTACCTAATTAACGCTCGTTTGCTGATAATTTACCATAAATTGAAATCTAAAATTCTCATAAAAAATCTGCCAGTATGGAAATTGAATACTAGTAAAAATTGGAAAGTAAACAATTTCCACAAATATCTAGTAAACTAGATATAGACTAGTAAAAATTGGAAAGTAAATATCTACAGGTGATATTGGTGTTTTAATCAGCTGTTACATTCTCAATTTATAAGATTCACACGGTGCTTTTGTGAAATGTTGCAATTATTTTGCAAGATACTTAGGATTCCCAATTTAAGAATAAATGGCGACTTATTGAATCAATCAATCCAATGTTTTTTAAATGTTCGAAATCGGCATATAATACGTTTTGGCTAAAATTTTCGGGTGTTCCATCCGTCGCGACTCCGCGGCGTTTATCAGCCGCCGGCTCCTCGTGCATTAGCTAATGGCGCGCGCTGAGAGCTCACGTCACCTTATCGGTCACCGTCACGGTGGACAGAAAAGAGCTTTCGTACATAGATATTAACTGACCTACTATTATAGTAGGATTAATAGTTGCTTGTAAATCGTGATCTCTACATAATGGTACGCTGAGAATCACATACAATTAAGTTGTACATACGCTGCTTTTAATTGTAAACAAATACTCATGTACTTTCAGAAAAAAGCATTGGATATTCTATATATATATATATATATATATATATATATATATATATATATCTATATATATATATATATATATATATATATATATATATTTATATATTATTTATATTACTTGTGTTTTTGACAGAAATGTGCTGGAATTGTAACTGAAAGACCAGATAGAATTTGTGGCTCTATCATAACGTATAATTTTCATAAAAATATTAGGATTAAGCATAAAGTTTCTAATATTAAGTTGTTCGCAGCGACACAGTAAGAAATTGTGTATAATTACAGACTAAGTTAGTAAACGTCCAGGGTATCTTAAAAATTTTTATTCGCATAGTTTTATAGTCAATCAAATAATATACATTTTTTAAGACAATATGCTGTTGGTGTTAATGCATTTAAGAGATTATCTCCTATGAGATATCTCTCTTTTTTTATTTTTTGACATTTTATTTAAGGTCGTATGGCCATTTTTTTTCAATCTTCGTGTGGGATATTTCTCGCTTAATTTTAAATACATATGTGAAATGCTGCCACCATTTTCAAATTGAAAAATTCAACATTTGGAAGATGAAATCATTTGCCATTTTCTAATTAATTCTTAACTGCGTATGTTATATAATTATTCATCATTTTGAAGTCATTTTGGAAATAATACAATATAAAAAGTGAATCTTACAAGTGAAAACTACAAGTTTTCAAACTTACAAAAGCTCAAATGATTCAAATTTAACCGAATTTAGGTGTGCTCAAAGATGAAAATTTGATAAAATAATGTTTTTCACTACTTTGAGGATAAAGTACTAAAACAAACTCTTTTCGAGCAGAAAGAAGTCTATATAGTAAACTTTCATTTTAGTCAGAAGTTGGGAGGATAAAGCGGAGCTTTAAAGTCCGCAGGTGAAAAGGGTCTACTATAATTATCTCAAAAACAAGTAACGTATATATATATATATATATATATACTATTTTAAAGTAGAAGGCAACAGTTGTTCAACCAGCCATCACCTTTATTCTAACAATGTCACTGTCAGTAGATATACGGCCATCACAAAGTAAGAATTTAATACCAGATCAATGTTTACTGAGTAATCTTTGTAAAATATCTTAGCTATTATTTTGTAAAATCCCTTAAGTGGTTCAAATTAAAAGTAAGGTTGCTATAATTCGTAGGCGGGGCATTTAAGATAGATGACATATTTTAGAAAAATAGCAAAAAAACATATTTCTATAATTTGGAATTAACAAGGAATCTTACGGAACATAGGTTGATAGTTAATTTTTTGATACATGTTATTTGTTGTAATGCAGTTCATTCGATTTAGACAGTATAATTACTGAAAATAAAATTGGATCTTGTGCCTCGTATAAATTTTGGGTTCCGTACCGATAAATAAACATACTTCAGATATTTAAAAAATTTACCTGAAATCCTTGAGAGTCTAATGAAAATATAGTGTGATACATACTAAAAAGTTTAAAAAGTATCTATTACATATTACTTTTTTGATTGCAGTATGAATACAATATTGAAGCAATTTTTCTCGCATACAATATGAAAAATAGTAAACGTATTAGTTTTATTCCTAAAGACATAATACTATATACAACTATTTACCTTACATTTGCGACGAATAGTTTCTTTCACCCAGCCGGCAACCCTCATGATAAACACATTACGCACCCATTTGCATCGTTTCATGTTCGCGTAACACGAAACATATACGGTTCGTACGGCTGCATTATTATCAATAAAAAACTCCAAGAAATTAACTAAAGTACTCCATTACACGAGAAATGAGATTAAAATGATACAGTATTTACAACGATTATACGTATGTGCATATATAATTGCGATACGCAAATGAGAGTTATGATGAAGTAATTTACCAGTGAACTCAGGAGCAGAAGCGAATTCAATGCATTGGTTTATTGCATATTGAGAGTGAATTTTATACTAGCATGTATGCACATACAATACTCTTTGTTTACTATTATATTGACTATATATAACGCAATGCTCTTCATGATCATTGCCTGTTGTAGCAGGAATTCCAATTAAAAATAATAAAAATCAATATATAGGATAGGTAGGGTCGAAAAAGTCCAACTTGAGTTTTAGTAGTATACTGTCTATATCAGAGAAACTAAATCACTACACATAACACGTATTAAACAAACTATGTGCAGTAAAATTGCTAATTAATTTTTAATTATAAAAATGTTTTTTTTTTGCTATTTTTCTAAAATTTGTCATTTAACCTGCCTATCTATGTACCTGCCTATATAGAGGAGGCAAAAAAATTCAATGCCTTATTTTTAATTTAAAAGGATTTTTACGCAATAACAGCTACGTTATTTAACCAATGTGAAATGCAAAATTCATGGATACATTTTTTTACAAAAATCACATGGTATATAACCTTGATCTGGTATTTGGTAAGAAATATTCATCAGCAGAATTAGAATAACTATTAATTAAAAATTAATAGTTAACGGAACAATTATCAATAATTCAATCTATCTTTTGTAAAATCGCTTTTTTAAACTTCATTTTTTTTATTTACTAATCTCCTATTGATAACACTTTTGTTTGGGTAAAAGTATAGTTGGTCCTTTTCAACCCAACTACATGTAAGCCGTTATACAGGTTATATAAAAAAACTGTTAAATCTAATAATATTGAGTTGTTCTTCCAACATGCCCATTTAGTACATATACAGTGTTCCTTTACGGCTGACAATTGTAAATTCCCCAAATTTATTAAATGTCCTTAACTGGACAGTTGTAAATAAAATAGAGAATAAAAAAAATGTAATAGCATTACGAATCATAAAACATATAAAAATCGTGTACTTAAAAATTGTATTTAGGTATTACATATAAAATAATAGATCAAAACTAAAAACTACCAACAAAAAATTTATTTGGTATAAATAATGATATATATATATATATATATATATATATATATATATAAGAAATTAAGGTGAAAGCTGGTTATACTAAGGTGACCATATTTTTTGCATGAAATCCTGGACGAATTAGAATGGGTGCGAGAGCGGGGGGAGGGGGGTGTTTGTTGGTGAACGAAAAACTTATATGCACATTTTTTCGGTTTAAATTTTGTAGTTGAAATTAATTAAAAAATATAACGGCAATGAAAACGTTTTTAAAAATCCGGGACAATCCGGGACAAAACACCTAAAACCGGGACAAATATTGTTTTTATAAAAAGACGGGACGCAAGGCGGAAAATCGAGACTGTCCCTATGTTATACATATTTTGCCTTCTACTTTAATACAGCACCGTTAAAACATCTATAGTTGCTTTTGAAATAATGGTGGTTAACATTTTTTACCGCGTACTTTTTTCCCGCTCAGCTTTAATATTATTTTTATAATTAAAATAATTTTTCTATTTTATTTTATTTTTTACTTTTTCTATTTTAAGTTATTTTTAACATGTAACATCACAAGAAGTACCCAAATAAACAATGCAATATTTGTTAAAGTATAATGATTTTAGAAAAGCTACTTTAGAAAGTCACAGTCAAGTCTTTCATTTTGACAATATTTTTCTGTTGTTCATGTTTTAGAAACATGTGACATAAATCCAAAAAAATATTAGGATTGAGTATGTATAAATATATAATGTATAACTTGTACCAATCGTACAAGTGATGTGTTTCGCGCATAGCGCCCGGTCCGCCGAGCGTAACCTCGATCACTTCTGCATAGCGGGTTAAACGTCGAGTGAGTCACACCCCCGCGACTCTGATAATTGCCGTCGGTTCGATCGCGTCCGGTCGATCGTTCCATCGCGAAAATAAATCGCTTCCGTTCACCTGACGTTCGACGTGCGCCTTACTTTTTAAGAGAAGAGCTAGGGAAAACTATTTCCATAAATATACTAAAGACATAATTTAATTTTAGAAAAAAAAGAAATTAACTTTTGCTTAAGGGATTTTATATAGTTCAAAACGTGTTACTTGTAAATTGTGCAGTATTTTGAATACTTAAGAAAAATGAATTGCATATTCTTTCATCAATTGTGCTAGTTTTTATCAGAAACGAGTCCAGCATTTGCCTAAATATGAAATAAATATAATTTGCAATAATGAAATTTTATACATACTTTTTTCCAATCTTCTTCGCCCTAAAGTAGAAAAATTACTTTTATTACATATCTAGACTCGTAAAGATATTTAGATAAACTACTTTCATCAAGATATTAAAAATATGCTTGATTTATGAATATATTCCGCGAGAATATTGTATCGATTAATTAAACGATATAATTACAAGATAATATTGAGAATTACTAAGCATTCAAAGAAAATATTATATAATCTACATAACTACATTATTATTTGGCCTTAGAAAATATTGAATTTGCTATAGGTATGAATGAAACACATACATATAAATCAACAACAATAACACAAATTAAAAAATCTTTAAGATTTCATTGCCTAACATGATTATTAGCTTCATTCTGGCTATTGTTTTATTTTACAATCAATTTCTGGAATAATTTTATAACAAAATTACATTTGAATAATCTATCTCCCTGCTATTTTATTAAATTTCTATATGATTTTACGAAAAAAATTGGAAATGCAACGCGAGCTGCAATAAAATGCACGCGTAAGGGAAACGCATTTATTGATCGTAGTTTAAATTACCATAAGAAACTTCAGTAGTCTTGGTGACTTATTGATTGTTTATCAATACTAAGAATACCGCGATATAGAATCACTTAAAAATTTATTGAATGAAAATAGTAGTCACAATAATTTACATGCAATCCTTTGAAGAATGACAAAATTAAATGTATCTTATAATCGAAACAAATAGAATGACAATAACATTTTTCGATATCACTCATATTTCTGACAAACGTGAGTTCGGAAAAAGGGGCCACTTTTACATGTTTCACTAATGTCTCGGCCAGCTGATGAGCTACGGATTTGAAAATACTTATAAAATGGCATCAAAATCATTTGAATACCAGGATGGGGCCGATTTTGTATGGAAACACGCCCAGACCCTTTGTAAATGATTCATATTAATATTTATTTTTTTATTTTTTGACAAGGCTTTTTATAGACGACAACCCAAACGGTTGTCCTATTTTTAATGTGACAATTTTTAATTGATGCAGAAATGCCGGATAAGGGATTTACGCTTGGGAACACATTGCTATCTATGATTTTAAATGAAAACCGATGTCACTACTGCTTGACATCATGCTTTCCGAGGCGGTTATTCAACCTGGAACTTCTTGTTGAAGTCCTATATCTCTAATCAAGGAGAGGCCTGGTATCAAAAATAAATCAAAAACTCTTCTAAATTAATTAATGCGATATCTAAATTCTTCAACAACAGTAGTTCAAATAATAAGGTAGATTATGATAATCCAGATTAAAAATTACTCAAGTTTATTCATGTTTTGAATCGCTTGAGCACATAAGTAAGTATTTCTATGAAAAATTAAAGGACTTATATGTTTTTTGTCCAAATGATATAATTTTACACTATGTATACAAATTGTAAAGAACTTGGAAGGTTTTTTTAATTAAAATATGTATTACCACTGTTAAATAATTTAACATCTAGTAATAATAATAAACAATAACAAATTTAAATAAAAAAAAGTACAAAGGAATTAGAAGTTGTTACTCAATTTTCAAAATCTCGATCACAAGGCCGGAATATTTATTCTATTACCCCTTATTACACATTTTATATGAAATGAACAAAAAATTGTAATGAACTTCGATATTATTAAGAGTAGTATTGTAGCACTCTACATTTTTCTAGATATTTTACAACAGGCAATAACAATTTCATTATATTACGTGAGAAAATTCGATTAAAACGAAACAAATAATCAACGTAAGTAAAATAATCGGTAATAATATCCCATAATTGGCAGTTCTGATAGCAGTCTTGCCAATTCTCAACTATATATCATAAAGTTTACAATCGCATAAACATTATATGAATGATAATAAACGTTGTAAACGTATTGTTGTCCATGACAAATTATTTCCATAAAAATTTAATACAGACATTTTTATAAACTCGTCGCAGTTAAGGAGTGACATACGATAAAAATTAACATTTTATATCGTACATAAAATACGGTACGTGTTACTTGAATATTTTTTTAGGAAAACTGCGCGAAGGATAAACAGCGTTAATAAATAATAAGTAATCGAGGTATTATATTAAAATTGACAACATCTGTATAAATAAAAATATTAAATCAATGCAACAAGGAATTAATAAGGCTTTAAAATAATTATCAAGTTTAAAATTTTATTATTTTTTTAAAAGGTAGTAGAAAAGCTACGGTTGTGCCAAGGTACGGTAGTGACAGTCGCCATCACCACTAATTTTGAGATAGGGTCCAAAATGAGCAAGATAAAGTATGTTCGTCCGAACAGGTTTCCATTTTTGGATTGAGTTAGAGTTTTTTCGTTCGATTTTTTGTAAATTTAACTGTTACTTGTATGCGGATACAACAATTTATTTGTTGTTTTGCTTTAAGTTGAAAATCTGTAGTTAATTACCAAAATATCAGCAATAAGTAGTAGATAATTTAGTTCAGTAATATTGATGAATTCTTTTCAATTTTGTGGGTACGGTAAGGTGGGTACGGATTTTTTTTTTAAAAAAATGAAAGATCTCATAACAAAGGTTCATTTCGAGTTCTGAATTTTCATTCTTATATCACAAATTTAAATTCTGCAGCAAATAATTGCCAGATTCTACTATGAAACAAATCCATCTATGGAATATAAATAGAACATTTTCATTTTGTATATATATTTGTAACTGAAAAAATCATATAAAGTTATTAATGCAGTACAAGATAGTGATAAACGAGATCCATCTACTTATAATCATTAGATATTAATTTCTGCAATTAATGTTGAGACCGTTCATTTAATACGAATATCGTAAAGTATATAATCTTATCAGAACAATTTATCGTTTAGAACAGATATGCACGATAACTGTCTCAGTTTCATTAATAATTATAATAATATATAAATAAAATATGACCGAATGTATCTCTAGATATGTTTAAGTTTGCAGTTAATATTAACGATAATTAACAACAGAGAAATAGACTACAATTTAACATTTAAACGATGGGAAATTGTAGAAGTAAAATAGTAATATATTATTAAACTATATTTATATATGAGATCGTATGAGATTTCCGTATTAATGGTAATCGTTTTCGCATAAACAAGGTAATCTTATTGATTAAATAATTTGTCTTTATATTTAATTAATTACGTGTATCTACATTATTCTTATATTTTTACTATCATAATTATTTTCACTTTTTTCAACTGTATAGTGCACGGCACATAGGATAATACTGTTAACCCTTTCCACTCGTATGCAGCCGCTCCGGCGACATGTTGCTTTCGTCGCAAAATGAAAAATATTCATCTTTGAAGCACAGTATTGAAATAAAGTTAATAACTGAATTAAAATAAAATAATTATTATTATCTCAGAGGACGCCTATGTTAATTACGTTATTGCAATTCATAAGATAGGAATTTTCTCGTATCGAATTTTTATCTTAACCACAGAAATCGCGGACATGCGTGTATAAAGCAAATAAGATTTATACTTTCCATCGGAAATATTTTGCAATGGGAATTAAATTGCTAATAAGCAATTACCAATGTATATTCTGACTAGATATTTCTTATTCAATTAAATTATGTAAGAATTCTTTAGGAATAAAATGGAAATGTAGGTATGTGTTTCATTTATAATACAAGTTTGGTATAAAAATACTTTTTATAATTAATTGGTCTAATATCAAAGAACATTTGGTTTCAATTTGGGTTTGTGAAACTCTATATGTAAAATCAAAAGGTTAAAATTACAATTATTATGAACCAATCACTATTACACTATTAAAATATTTCAAAATAGGAAAAAACCTAAAATAAAACGAATTTGTGTATACTTAATATTTAAAAATGATTGAAAAGTGTGACGTTGATTGTAAAGTCCAATAATAGCATAATGACCTACTCTTCAGATATACAAGAAATTCAATGCAAATTACAGTTTCCCATTTAATACGTTAATACAGCGATTTGAAAATATCTAATTATAAGATAAATCTCACTTTCGAATTTAATTTTTATCACGTAATTCTAAATATCTATATATGTTCAGTTATCTCAACACTTTCCCATGTTCAATTGCAGTTTTATGAATGTGCAAATCGTATTTACATATAAGCTTTATGCATATAATATATAAATGCAAGATGATAGTCTTCAGAAAACATCCGACTTTGAGAATGATAATATTTTGCGAAATTCATATAACATTAGCTATAAAAGAAAAAGGTATAGGAAACAAATTATTTATATATATATATATATATATATATACATATACATATATTAATTTTTTATTTTAACTGCATTATTGTAGTTCATATTTAACTATTGAGCAATATAACAATTTTTTGTTAGAAATTTTTATGATTAGTAATATTTCATAAATATTTGTTCCAATTAGTAGTAAACTAGCTGTAAGTGGAATTCTGTCTTGAGGCATTTATGGCATCGTGCCTTAAGGCAAATTGCTGGAACTTCCCGTACCGAAATGTTCGAGGAATACTGAATGTTTTCAAATAGATTATTATAAATATTGTAACATTGTCTAATATTTATGAGAATTATATAAACTGAATTGCAGAGTTGAAAATATTTGTAAAGTATATTAGAACTATAGCCAGAATTAAAAATAAAATCTGAAATATTTTTGATAAACTAAAAAAAAAAAAAAAAAAAAAAAAAAAAAAAAAATTGAACAAAATTTTTTTTTCCAAAATCAATTATTTTGTTAAGACAAGCAGAAAGTTCTTTGAATCATTTAAATCGGACGCTTAGTTCTCTCAAAAACTGCCATTTTTTACATATTTAGCTCCATATCTTCGAAATGGCTGGGCCTGCCTTTGCCAAAAACTAATAAGCACTTCTCCCAATCATTACTAATTGAATGCTTTTTAGATCATTCAAATCAGATACTCCGTTCTCTCAAAAATTCGATTTCTATTTTCTGCACTCTTTGCTCCGTATCTCCGAAACGGCTGGACCTGCCTTCGCCAAAAACTAATCAGCTCTTTTCCCTATCAATAGGAATCGAATGTTTTTTGAACCATTCAAATCGGTTGATCCGTGCGCCCTAAAACGTGACTGGAAATTTGTATCCATACATACATACACACACACACACACACACACACACACACACACACACACACATCCATTTTTTCTGAGGTATGCCAAAACGTTCAAAAACCTTCAAACGTCGAGAAATGTTAAAATTTTCAATTCCGATTTTCGGCCCATTACAATAACTTACCCTACGGGAAGTTAATAAATTTATAGCAAAGGTACAAATTCTATACATTTTCTTATATAATATATTGAAATATCAATCTAAGAGAGATTGTTTGACTAAGTCTACAAAAATTTATTAGTTGGACAATGCTTGTGAAATTTCACTTAATTTGTAGTCCAAATCAAGTTATTTAATAATAAATAGCTTTTTTCTTAATAACGAACAATTTTGTAGAGGCAATAATTTTTTGCCTTTTTGCCATAACTGATAATATTTTTATTCATTAAAGTGTGATCTATTATATATTATATTATAAATTTGATTTTTTTACAAATGAGGTAGATATAGTTGTTTTTGATTCATGACCAAATACTTCACACGACACAGATACACAATCATCCACAAATTTAGATTAATACTACAAAATAATTATAATAAATTTCATTCGTTTATTACCATTTTTGATTGTGTATTTATGATTCATATCTATATAAATATCAATTTGTTTTCAAAAAAAATCTTTATTCCCTACATCTTGACCAAGTAAATATGAAGAAAGAGAAAAAGTATATTTATATTGTTCAATATTTTTTCATTGATGTATAATATATATATATATATATATATATATATATATATATATATATATATATATATATATAGAAATATTTATAAGTACGTTTCTCAGGTTGGAAGAGAGACATTCAGGTATGTTATTACGGCGAGGTCGAGAGCCAACGGCCGGCGAGCGGATAATTGCTAATTAGAGCTATTACTTTGATTATTTTCATCAATTTGTATCCATAGAAATTTATTGAAGTTATCTTAATAAGACACGAGGCTTAGAAAATCACAAAATGAGTAAAATAATAGTGAAATGAACGACTGCAGCGATGCAGAAACTACACATTAAAATCAACTGTGACGGAAGTCGTAGACTTTTTTCATTCAATAAAATATATTTAAGTGCAGATTTAGATTCCTGATTATAATTTATGGTGATAAACAAATATAAATATACATACTACAATTTAAAACTGAGCTGGAAATTTTGTTAACGACGATCAATCTTGCAATTGAGACTACAACTGTTTTAATGTATATAATCGACGGAAGTTTGTATCCACAAATTTTATTGAATTTACAAATTTATTAAACATCTAAGTGTATATATATAAAGTAAGAAATATGTTATAAACACCTCGACTATGTTTCTCTGAAATACCAAATAACATATTTGGTTCAATGATACTTAATATAATCAATTTAAGTATTGGTTGAATACTTATGAATTTGAATTAGAAATTACTTTAATAAATCAAAAGCTTTAGACCAAATAAAAAGTATAAATAATTCTTTTACCTTAAGCAATTTTTAAAACATTATAAAAATAAATAACTCATTTTTTATTTAATGCGTTTACACGTAGTTTCATAAAAAGTGTTTGGGAAATATTTCTGGATTTAAAAAAAGTAAACTCAATTGTACGCATAGCGCATAAAAGTCATTTTTCAATCAGAGCATAACAACATGTTTTTAAATGCCATTTTAATATGGTAGTATTCAGTAATTGTTATTTTGAAGAACATTATTACATTAATTATGATAATGTGTTTTGAACGGCCGATATTATATTATCATTTCCATATAAAATATGACCTTATTCTATCTTTTTCGTTACGTCTTTTTTGGCATTGGATTTATTTTTAATATTGAACAAAATATTATTAGGTGTAAACATACTTCGTCGTAATAATCACAAGGTAAAAAATAATCAAACTTGCGTGCCATAAAAATGTTTTCCACAAGTTAGTAATAAGAAAGATATTTATCAAGAATTAATTAAAGATTATTGCAGTTTAACAACAACTTATTTATAACTTTCAACAAAAATATAAACTGGCTGAGAAACTTAATTAGAATTTTTATTTAGTAAAATAATATAAAAATTACTAATAGGTAAATTAGGCACCTTCAACCGTGCGTTTTGTGAAACTTCTAGCTAGAAATATGTGGATAAAAATGTTTTCTCTAATTTATTTAAAAAAAATTCCTTTTGTTATTTTTAATCAGAACATATTTAGTGCAAATATGTTTTTTCGTTTCGAATTCTATTTCATTATCTGCCAATACCTTTCACGTCCCATTTGACAAGAATAATTTTAATTCAATCTGTCGGTGTAATGGCTCTTTATGCAACTGGTCATATGTAATTATTTAATTACGGATTTACAACAATCTCGTCGTAAAGATCGACTCTTGTGTGCAAGTTTCGAGTTACGATGTTGCGATCAGGTTTACGTTGTTGCAATATAGAAATGTATAAATCCAAACGACATGATAAAAGAGAGCTGGTGGTCCAAGTAATATTCTTAGGATTTGATATCCTTATAATCCCTTATCAGTATATCAAACTATAAGAGTCTGAGATTAGTTATTCTATTTACTTAAATTATTGCAGGTTATTCACATAGTTTTTATTATAATAGTTATATTTTACTAATTGTTTCATTATTTTTGGATGTAGTCCAAGAAATGGTATTGACGGTTACAGATCCATAGCTTAAATGAACAAAATCAAAATTAATCATTGGTCTGTTTTACCAAAGCTCTACGTTGCACTTAAAAGCTCACAATTTTCAAACTATAGGCATGGATTTTTTTATGATAGTTACATTCAATACTATCACCCTGTTTGAGCTTTTCAACTAACTATACATATGTAAAATATTAAATTTGATGCTAGTATAATATACATGATTTGAGATCAAAGATCGGAAGCTTTAAAAGTTGTTTGAAAGTTTATTTTACAAATACATTATTGCTAAAATAAACTTTTAACCAACTTTTAAAGATTTATAAGAGCTTCCGATCTTTGATCTCGAGACATTTATGTTATATTAGCATCAAATTTAATATTTTACATATGTATAGTTAGTTGAAAAGCTCAAACAGGGTGATAGTATTGATCGTAACTCTCAAAAAAAATCAATGTCAATAATTTGAAAATTATGAGCTTTTAAGTGCAACCCAGAGCTTTGGTGAGATATAGCGAGATGTTTTTCTTTAGATGGTGGAATAACATGATAAAATTGTTCTTGGGCATCCATCCAGTAATTTAAAACAGTTTTATTAAAAGAAAATGTTTTTATTAAGAAAACATACGTTTCGGGTCTTGATTTGGCCCATTTTCAGTGCTACAATTAAATATTTCAGGGTTACAATTTAAACCAATATAAAAAATGCATAATTACATAAAAATATAAACAAAAACATGTAAAGTAGCATAAATCTAATCAATTTAATAAATTTGTATTATAACTGATATATATTGTGAAAATATATGAAAATGAAAAAACAAACAGACATAAACAAATGTAAAGAAACTCGCCATACAAATAAATTGAAAAATTGTAACCCTGAAATATTTAATTGTAGCACTGAAGATGGGTCAAATCAAGACCAGAAAGGTATGTTTTCTTAATAAAAAACATTTTCTTCCAATAAAACCGTTTTTAATTACTGGATGTATGACCAAGAACATTTTTATCATATATGTGACAATGTTTATATAAATACTAAATAAAGCCACCTTACCAAAAATGTTCAATATTGTAGCAAAATATTACTTTTGATGAAACTTAATTTTAAGAAAATATAACAAGCCGACATATGTAATACTTCTTAAGTAGAAACATCAAACATTTGGGTCCTTGACAATCATTTTGTGCCTTGCAAGAGATCACTTCAGGTTTGCACCTGAGAACCTCAGGTTTACACTTCTGGGATTTTGATGGTTTTGTTGGCTAATAGTCAAACCAAACCTTTTAAAGTATTAGACCTATATAAAAATGTTTAATTATAAAAATTAATTAAAGTTGTAAAAATTACGCTGCGAGCTATATCTACACGCATTACGTTACCCACGATTTCTTAACTCCTACTCACATAATTGATAGTAAAAATATTGTTTGCCTTTTTACGACTTTTCAAAAAT